TCTTATCTGTGAAGTGGGAGTGATAGTATTTACCTCTTAGAGTGCATGTGAAGATTAAGTGGGATCTTATGATGCACCTTACTAGCTTGGGGTATAAGTTTGGTCATACCTTTAAAAAATTTCTAATTGATCACCTATTTAAAACCTCCTTTGCAAATTGAACAAGAACTCAAGGGGCTTACTATTCTGAAGGAGTCTCCTGCCCACCCCCAGGACAGAGAGAAACTCAGAAAAGCCTGACCCATCCACTGGTAGGCCCTGGTTTCAGCAGCTGCTGTTTTTTGGGGGGACCTTTTGAATGAATAGGTTTCACCCAGGTCAATGTGCCCTTAATCACTGCTGCCATGCCTCTTCTAGTCCAGGTCTTTGCACACAATATGGTGGTGCCCAAGCTTGACCTCTCAAGGTAACTCATCTCCAGGTCACACCCACATAGTTGCTGTGCTCTGTGTCACCCTCTGACATCAGTGCCACAGTGACCAGCTCCAGAGGAACTTGTCACCAAGTCCAGACACTCTGTTCTTTCATGGTGAGTAATTGGACATTAGTGTCTTTTCCTACCATTGGACCTCACTTGGAATCATCCCAATTCATTTGAAAATTCTGATAACATTGAATTTCAAATAGGAAGTATATTTAAAAAATACATCAAAAAGATTATCCATCATGACCAAGTAGGATTTATTCCAGAAATGTAGGATGGAATAATATTTGTAAATCAACCAATGTGATATACACATTTTCCAAAGTAAGGATAAAAATCATGATCATTTCAACATACTCAAAAAAAGCATTTGTCAAAATTCAATATCTATTCATGATTAAAAAACTCTCAACAAAATGGGTATAGAGGGAACATACCTCAACATAAGAAAGGCCACATATGACAAACCCATAGTTAACATCATACTCAGCAGTGAAAAGCTAAAAGATTTTCCTGTAAGATCAGGAATAAGACAAGGATGCCTACTCTTACCACTTTTATTCAACATAGTACTGGAGGTCCTAGCCACAGCACTCAGACAAGAAAAAGAAATAAAAGGCATTCAGATTGGTAAGGGAGAACTTAAACTTTCACTATTTGCAGCTGATATGATACCATATATAGAAAACCCTAGACTCCACTAAAAAACTATTAGCATAAATGGATTCCTCAAAGTACAGGATATAAAATCAATGTACAAGAATTTGTTGCATTCCTATGTACTAATAATGAACTAGCAGAAAGAAAAGTTAAGAAAACAGTTCCATTTACAATTACGTTAAAAGAATAAAATACCTAGGAATAAACCTAGCCAAGGAGGTGAAAGACCGTACTCTAAAAACTGTAAGACATTGATGAAAGAAATTGAAGAAGACAAATAAATGGAAATCTATCTCATGGTCCTGGATAAGAAGAATTAATATTGTCAAAATGGCCATCCTGCCAAAAGCAATTTACATATTCAGTGCAATTCTATCAAAATACCAATGGCATTTTCAATGAACTAGAATAAATAATCCTAAAATTAATATGGAACCACAAAAGACCCTAAATAGTCAAAGCAATCTTGAGAAAGAAGAACAAAGCTGGAGGTATCAAACTCTCTGACTTCAAGCTATACTACAAAGCTACAGTGATTAAAACAGTTTGGTACTGGCACAAGAACAACCCATAGATTAATGGAACATAATAGAGAGCCCAGAAATAAACTCACATATTTATGGTCAATTAATATATGACAAAGGAGATAAGAATATAAAACCGGGAAAAGATATTCTCTTCAATAAATGGTGTTGGGAAAACTGAACAGCTACATGCAAGAGGATGAAATTTGATTACTGTCTAACTCCATACACAAAAGTAAACTCGAAATAGATCAAAGACTCAATATAAGACATGAAATCATAAAACTCTGAGAAGAAAACATAGGCAAATATCTCTTGAATATAAGCATGAGCAACATTTTTCTGGAGATGTCTCCCAGGCAAGGGAAACAAAAGCAAAGCAAAAATAAGCAAGTGGGACATCAAACTAAAAAGCTGCTGTACAGCAAAGGGAACCATCAACTAAACAAAAAGACAACCTACAGTGTGGGAGAATATATTCATAAATGATATATCTGATAAGGGGCTAACATTCAAAATATACAGAAATTCACATGACTCAACTCCAAAAGAAACAAATAACCCTATTAAAAAATGGACAGAAGACCTGAATAGACATTTTTCCAAAGAAGACACACAATAAGATTGTGTATCAATGATACTTCAATAATAATAATAAAAAAGACATACAGATGGCCAACAGGCACATGAAAAGATGCTCCATATCACTAATCATCAGGGAAATACAAATCAAAACCACAATTAGCTGTCACCTCACATCAATCAGAATAGGAACTATCTAAAAGATAAGAAATAACAACTGTTGGTGAGGATGTGGAGAAAAAGGAACCCTCCTATACTGTAGGTGGGAATGTAAATTGAGCAGCCACTATGGAAAACAGTATGGAGGTTCCTCAAATAATTAAAAATAGAAATATGATATGATCTGGTAATTCTACTTCTGGGAATTGCCTTAAGAAAATAAAATCATTAATTCAGAAATATATATGCACCGCTATGTTTATCACAGTATTATTTATAGTAGCAAAGATATGGAAGCAACCAAAGTATTCATTAATAGATGAACAGATAAAGAAGATGTGGTACATAAATACAATAAAATATTATTCAGTCATAAAAAAAAAAGAAATCTTGTCATTTGTGACAACATGATATTATACTAAGTGAAATAAGCCAGGCAGAGAAAAACAAATACTACATAACTTTACTTGTAAGTGGAACCTAAAAAACAAAACAAAACAAGATGTATAAAACAGCAATAGACACATATACACTGAGAATTGACTGGTTGTTACCACAGGGGAAGGGTTAGGGTGGGTGAAATAGGTGAAGGGAATAAAGTGGCATAAAATGTCAATCATAATGTAAATTAGTCAAGGAATGAAAGTACAGCATAGAGAATATAGTCAATAATTCTGTTACATCTTTCTGTGTTGACAGCAACTACACTAGTTGGGGTGAACATCTAAATATGTAGATAAGTGTTGGATCACTGTGTTATACACTTGAAACCCATATAATACTGTATATCAACTATACTTCAATAAAAAAATAGCAACAATGACCAAAGGAAGTGGTCCAGGTCACCTTCCCCTTCAAGAGGCTCCTTAAGTTCACTAAACAAATTTAGCCCACTCCTTCCATCTATCAGAGCTGAATACCAAGCAAATCACAGAAATTCCTATCACATCATCCTCTATCAGGAATGGCTCAGCAAACTTGAATCTGTATAACTAAGAAGAGCTGTTCAAATGAATCTTCCAGACATAAAGAAGGTCTACCAGGGACATTTTGATGTTATCCAGACAGACATAATCTGAGACCTTCTCTTAATAATTAAGTAAAACAAAACAAAAGCTTCAGCAGACACAGAAGTAGCTAGCATACCCATCACCTAACAGGTGCTCAGAAAATGTTGGTTCTCTCCCTCCTCCACTCTTCCTCAGCTTGATCACACACCTCTACATCATTCAGCTGGGAACATGTAATTTTCCAGAGACCTAACATTCCCAAGTGTTCATTTCTCTGCTGCTCTGTATAAATACAGTCCAGATGATTCTGGATTGTCTTCTGCCAGGCTCACCAGGCTTGTAAACACTGACTTGTTCTCAGGCATGAAACAAGAGTTGGTGGCAGCAGTTTCTCCTGCTTACCTCTGTTGAATTCCAGCAAGGTTCCACATTCAGAGCTGCTTTTAGGGTATGTTTGCCTAAAGCAGTTTATACTTTCTTCAAATGGTTAATTTTATTTTATATTTGTGCTCAATTTGTGACCCAGAGCATTTTGTCATGGAAAATTATTTGGTAATGTAAATATAAACAATGCATAGCTAGTATCCCTCTTAACAGAGAGAGAGGCGTTTGTAAAGTGTGTGTTGTTACAAACCTTTGCCGCACAACATTCTGCATTCTTTGAGAAAGGATGGGGTATTTCCTTTTTGGAGGTTTAGTTTCAAGGAACCATATTTTACTTTTCTGGTTTTGTCAACAAAACATGTATCTGTGTGGTTAAGACACACAGGGGCCTGTGGGGCTTGTGGTCAGAGGCTAACCTCAGACTATGTCTCCAGACTTCCAGACAAGCTCTTTATTACATTCCCTTGCAGAACTGCCAGACCTCACCACCAGGCCCTATGGGTGTGGCATCAAAGCTGACTCTATTCTCCAAAAGAAAGTGACAGCTCTTTTGAATTATTTGGGGTACAGAAAAGAATTTTCACATGATTCATGAGACAAATCAGGTGTTCATTACCATATTATCCTGACAGGTATTTAATTACTGGCTTTAGACACAAATTCTAATAGAAATAGAAGAAAAACAGACCAATTCCGAAGCTCTCTTGAAAATATCCTTAGTTCCCCCACCATCCTTTTCACTGGCCTCCTTTTGCTTTAATGTTTTCTCCAGAAATGCTTTGCTAATGCTCTGGTGTGGCTTTGGCTTAGCTGCATTTGTTGGAAAGGGAAAACTTCCATTCTATAAAACATTGCATCCTGATTCTTTGAAATTCCCAGTGAACTTGGAGAAATTATGTCTTGGCATCCAGCGTACTTCTGGGAACACAACATGATGCTGACGACATAGCCCAGTCACTCCACTTGACAAAATGTTTGTTTGTGTCATTTCACTTAAATATTCAGTGATGAGGAAGAACAGAAGTGGAAAGCCTTACTTACCAGAGTTTATTGTAGGTTTCATGTGGATGGTAATTACTTTTGAAACACCACTCTGGATAAACTGATCAGATTAGGATGAATCCTGGCTGGCCAATAGCTATTGGAATGATTCTCCATGCATGACTATGTTGCATTATTACAAAATGTGGCAGGATAGACCTGCCCAGCCATTGCAGCAGATGCTCATTTGTAATACTGCCTTAAGGAGATGAGGAGATGAGAGTAAATTGTTCCAGCAGCTCAGCCTGCGCTGCCAACAGTTCAGAGGAGCTGCCAGAGGGGCTGGAGGTACCTGGGAACCTGGAACTTGTTTTCACAGTGCTGTCAGCTGTGATGATGGCCTTGCTCATGTTCTCCTTGGGATGCTCAGTGGAGATCCAGAAGCTGTGGGCACACATCAGGAGACCGTGGGGCATTGCTGTGGGGCTGCTTTGCCAGTTTGGGCTCATGCCTCTCACAGCCTATCTCCTGGCTCTCAGCTTCTCCTTGAAGCCAAGGCAGGCTGCTGCTGTTCTCATCCTGGGGTGCTGCCCAGGAGGCACCATCTCTAACATTTTCACCTTCTGGCTTGATGGAGATATGGATCTCAGGTAAGTTACGCTAGGGAAGATCAGCAGCCTTCCCTCAGAGCACTTTGTCTTGGGGGATAACTGACACTTTTGTGTTGAAAACTGTATCAATCTTTAGGTAGAGATTTTCGTGGGAAACATTTCACAGAGACTTGTTCAATCCTGGAAGGGCTTTCCTTTCTGAGCTTAAAATTTGCTTTGCTGTGATCATCCTCTGTTTTACTTGCAACTACTTCTCTGAGTAGTGGTGTTTGCTTGCTTCCTATGTTTAGTGGAGGCAGGTCTCCTCCCTTCCTAGGCATGAACTTGTTCTCTCGCACAGTGGCAGCTTGAACCACAGCCTCCTAGCATGCAGGCTGGGAATCCCAGGAAGCTCGTGGCCATGGTTTGATAGCTGGCATGTTGTGGCGCCGGTGAAATGTGAATGATGAAGCCTGTGTAGTGATCATCAAGTGTTGCCTGAGTACCTACCTGCCTTATGAAAGAAGTGTTTTGGAGGACCAGAGAGAGGAGCTTTAGGGCATGTACAGACATACCCTGTTTTAAGTGCTGGTGGTGGCCTATTGAGTGGACTTGAGCAGCAACATAAAGACTTTTATGACTGAAAGTCTTCTTTCTTGTTGCTTTGCAGATGCTCAACATTTATCACTAGACTCATTCCTTTCATTTAAGCAGTGACCTTATTCCAAATATGGTGTAAATGCACACCCTGGGGAGACAGTGGTTTTATCAGTCATTTACACTTTAATGAGGATAAATTAATCACATATATTTTTGGAGTGCAAATTTTGAGGGGGAAAAAGAGAGTTTGAGCAAAGAATAGAGGAGTCACAATTTGGAAAAATAAAAGAGCTAGAGAGAGTAGTCTTTCTAGGTTCTTTGCTTACTTATGAACAAAGTTTTCTACTTTCTGCTCTGGGAAAGAACTACATATAAATTCAGATCTTTGTTCAATGTGAAGTCATCTGGTTGAGATTTATTCTACGATGAATGAACGGATTAGAGGTGCTGACTGTGCTGGGAGTTGATGTTAGTGAGTCAGCAGTGGGTCTGGGTTTCTGATTTCCGGCATGTGCTGAGTGTTTGGCATATGGAAGATATTTCACCTATAACTTTTAATGAGTTCATGCCATTCAGACCAATAATTAATTTTCATATAGCAATGTTTTTAGTTACCCATTTATCAGGGATTGTAAAAGAAACATTGCACTGCTAACTTAACTTCAAACAAAAATCATCAACATAGTAATTGGGAAATGAAATATTCTTTGCACAAAGTTCACATGTCAGTGATAACTTTGGTGACCTGAAAATTTTTGGAAAGAAAAAGGAAACATACTGATTGGGTAGCCTGACAGGCATGAGGTAGGTGCTTTCATGTATCCTTTCTCTTTATTCTTGGCTTTCATAGTAACTTTGTAAATGACCTTTTATTATTCTGAATTTATAGCTGAGAAAATTGTGACTCAGATTGGGTAAGTAGGTTGCCAAATACTACAGATGAGTGTGGCAGAACTCAGATTTGAATTCACACCTGTTTCTCATCAGTCTGCAATTTAGACACTTTTTTCCATACTATTTATTAACACAACTAGCTCTTCTGTTCTGAACAGGAGCATAAACCCTTAGCCAGTGTTCTCAAACACTTCTGGGAAAGAACATTTATTAACTTCATCTTTTATTAGCCACTGTTGTAATAAAAATACCAATGATTAGGAAGTCTATAAGAGACAAAGCTCATTTTACTTCCCTTTGCTAACTCTATCTTTAATTGGCTATTAACTTTGGTCAAATCATTTAACCTATAAGCCTTATCTCCTCATTGTACTATGGTGTAAAATTACTTATTTCTCACAAGACTTCATTTTAAGGAGGAAATACATTTGCAGGAGGCCAGGCACATTGTAGGTGAGTAATAAATATTAGCTACTCTCTCCTTTTCTTTTAAAATTTTAGAGTCTCACAAACGAAAACAAACAAGCCAAAAAAATGAATTATAACAAATGAACTTTACAAATAGGGGCAAAACATTAGATTTTTCAAAAGCTTATAGATTGAAGAATAATAAAATCTTTAACTCCCAATAAAAATTAAAAATAGGAGAAAATTCAGTATTATTGAGGAATATGATATCCAAACTCATTACATTTCATCCTACTTGATTACCAACAAAAATAACTTTTAAGCAAAGTTCAGTAGATAGTCACTGACAGGAATTCTGTTTTTTATGCTGAGCAAAATCTAAGAGCATCCACTTCATCTTCATTTTACAAATGAGGATATTCAGATGTAGCTCTCTGTAGATCCCCCCAAACACATTTCTCGTGCCTTAACTCCATGCTTCATTCAATCTACCCCAGTTCTCCATGTGTTCACCCCAAACATGGCATGTCAGAATCAACATGTTTGAAGCAGTTCCTGCATATCTGGTGATAACACCAGTCATTCTCCCAGTCACCCGGGCCCGTCATCTCAGCATTCCCCTGTGACTCCCTTCACACCTCACCTCATTTGCTCAATTCGATGTCTGGTCCTGTAACCTTCTTGCTTGTCAGTCATACCTATGACTTCCTATTTATCTCCACTGCCATTTCCTCAGGTCAGGCCCTCACATTTTCCTTTTTGGTCAGTTGTAATATTTTCACAACGTTTTGCCACCTTCAGTCTCTCCATCATGGTTTTGTAGTAAGTGAATAAGGCAAGCTCTGGGGCAGATTATATTTAATTCCTGACTTGGGAATTCTTTTCTGCAACTGAAAATCATGACACTTCCCTTTTGGTACTGTAAACAGAAAAATGAACATGCTGTGGATAGAACTTTCTCAGTATCTATTAAACTGAATAGAAGCTAAGTCAGGTGTAACCTACTCCTCCAGGTTTATTTTCTATTAAGCACAACTAGTCTACAGTCAAAATAGACTGACTGCTCACTATTTTCTAAACATACCCCATGCTTTTCCAACTTTCTTTTGCCCATGTTGTTCCCACAGCCTGGAATGCCAACTGGTCTGATTCTATACCCTCTAGTCATAATATCATTTTTCATTATAAATGTTCTGGAAAGCAATTGGCCAGCATATATGAGGAGCCTAAAAAGTTATCCCGCCCCTGGACTGAGCTCAGCTGATCTTGGCCAGGCTCTCTCCTGTGTTTGGGTGCTGGCCTTGGATGGCCTCTGCTGGGACAGCTGGGCTCTCCTCCACATGCTCTCTTAGATTCTCTGGCGACTTGATCACGTGACAGTGGCATGGTTCTTAAAAAGTGGAATCATACAAGGTCTCCTGAGGCCTCAGTTTAAACCAGTTCAACATAATTTCTACTAGACTCCATTGGCCAATGTAGATTGCAAGGCCAGCCCAAATTCAAGGGATAGAGAAGGGGATTCTGCCTCTTGGTGGGTGGGATGAGTGGCAAAATCACACTGTAGAGGGTGTGGATAAGAGAGGGGTGAAAAATTGGGGATACTTTTGCAACCTACTGTCCTAAGGATGGAAAGAATTCTTGCTTTTGAGGGTAGGACATGAAAACTAAATCTGGCAGTAAATTGTAATAATTAAGTGCACCACTCTGAAGCCAGTAAGTAGAACTGTCACTTATTAGCTGGGTCAGCTTGGCAGATTATGTAAATTCTCTGTGCTTCAGCTTCCTTACTTTTAAAATAGTGAGAAACATAACCTACCCCATGCGTCATTTTAAGTTTCAAGAATTTTGTGACAATCGGGAGAGAAAAGCAAATTATGAAGTCTAATTGTCTCCCTTCCCCCACTCCAGTTTTTAATGTTTTTCTGAAACTATTTGACAGAGATGCCTCTCCTCTCTGTTCCCACAGCACCAAATATGTAATTCTTTCTTGTCATCCACTGGAAGGCAGTCCAATAGCTGAGCTACTTATCCGCATCATCCACTAGGTCCGTAATCTCCTCGAGGGCTTGATCCTCTTTATGTGCTCATTGCCAGCCTGGAGGTGGTAGGTTCTTGGTAAACATTGAATGAATGACTGAAGGGAAGTTTCTGATTGCTTGTGTGTGTTACCAAAACTGCTCTTAGGACAGCTCCCATTGTCTTTAGTTTGACAACTTTTAATATACAGAGGTTCATTCTTTCCTGAGGATGTATCGATGTCCTCAGCTGAAGAGAAAGGATTCTGACCAAAGGTGGAGATGGAGCCTGAGGAGTTCAGTGGCTAATTTTGACTTTTGAACTTTAAAGAAGCTCTTGGTCCTTTAGCAGACACACTGGAAATAGGACTTCAGGTTCTTCAGCTCTGTCTGGCATGGCTTGGTGGAGAAATAAAGATCATCTTTAAGGGACAGAACTTAGATTGAATCCATGTGACTTTGTGTAAGTTTCTATAACTCTCTGCACTTTAGTTTCCTTGTCTATACAATGGAAATAATACCGACACATACGGTTATTGTATAGATGAAAAGAGGAAATGTTATCTAAAAGCATGAGGTATAATATTTACAGGTAGTTTTCAACAGATGCTAGTTATTTTTATTGAGAGGCAGCAGACAGGAGTAACATTTATATTTGGGGATGGAAAACCTGGCCTTGAACTCTTTTCTAGGGCCATGTCTGCTGATCTGATCTTAGAATATACTTCATGTCCACCTGCTTACCCTAATAATTTTTTATTTTTTTCCAGTGGAGAAACACATGTGTACTTTCATAGTTTTGAGTGTCAGAATTCCTGATTTTACCAGTTTGAAATGAAAACATTTGAATAATTTAAACCTAATTGAAAAATGGTATACTTATTGACACTACATTTTAATGTAATGCATATATACATAATTTCCTTCTTTTAAGGAAGGTTCAAGATTTACCTGTTTGTCCAGACTTGCTGAATCTGTCTCATTATTCTCTGTAATAGTTTGGGGATTATGATGCCATTCTTCTGAGTTCAAGTGGAATCTTGTTATGTTGAAGTCAGATTTTGCCAACAGTTTTCCTATATGTGAGCAGAGCAGCCAAGAGACCCAGTTAGCCACATCCTCTGTTTATGCAATATTGGAATT